ATCATTTGGCTCTGAGGTAGGGTGGCATAAGACAACAAATGCAACAAGAAGGAATTTGAGACAAGCCTATTTCTGTTCCTTGTGTTATATCCAGTTTGATCCAGCAATCCCCACCCTTAATTCCAGCACCCTTAATCCCAGCATAGCACTATGAGTCAATCACACACTCTAGATTCAGCCACCTCCCAAAAATCTTGATGACCATATGAGACTTTGGAGGGACATCTAGACACAAACCATAGCAGACTCCTCTTGGAAAATCATCTTGGGTGGAATCCTTTGGTCAGGCAGAATTTTATAAAATTGAGCTCTGGTGTACAATCATGTGTCAAAGGAGACTGTTTCAGCTAGTGTCTGTCAAAATTACTGGTAATGCTGTGTAGTTTCCTGTTGCTGCTACAACAATCCACACAATCTTAGTGACTTAAATCAATACAGATTTGTTATTTTACCATCCTGTAGGTAAGACATCCAAAATAATTTTCACTGGATGAGTATTAAGGTTATCAGCAATACTGAAGCACCTTTAATCTCCAGGGTAAACACCATTTCCTCAAATTTCCCACCATGTAGAAGTCACCTATTTTCCTTAACTTTATAAATCTGTGCAGTTGTCTTCCTTGCCCCCAAAGAGGTGAAAAAATAACATATACTTTTGTCTGACTGGTTTAGATAATTCTTGATCTTGGAATTGGATGGAGAAGGAGTTGCCATCAATTTTGTGTTGGTGTGTCCTAATGAACCATGCTGTGTTAGTCAGTTGTTCATCATTGTGACAATCTACCTGAGAGATAAAGAGAAAAAAGGGTGCATTTTAGTTAGCAGTTTAAGAACTTTAAATCTGTGGTCATCTGGCTTCATTGTTTTTAGATTTGTGGCAAGCAGAAATATTATAATGGAAAAAAATAAAGTTCACCTCATAGAAGCCGAGATGGAGGGGGGGGGGAGAGAATATCATGATCCAACCACTTCCCAAAAGCCAAACAGCAAGCCCCAGCACACACTTTTGAGGCACATTTCAAACCCAAACCATAACACACAACACTCAAGCCAGTACTGTAATATTCTATCTTAGTCATTACAGTCTTAGACTTCATGAAATCGTGAAATTGAAGATAGTTTTAGAGGTTCAGGGAGTAGCAGGACTCTAGAGCATTCCTGACATATTTTGCTGCCTTGAGGATAATTCTACTATAGTCTATGATATATTCAAGTATAGTCTCTTTTTCATATACTAGTAATTGCAACTGTTAGATACACAAAATGAGTAGTTTTTGGACCAAAGCCAAACCAAAAGCATATTTAGAACTTGTCTAATGCTTTAAAAATTTAAAATATAATGACCTTGCAGTTGAAGGAACTTCAAACAAGTGAATGCATATGCAAAGTCAGAAAATTCATGATAAACATATATAAATATAAATGTATACGCACACAATAGATTAAATAATGAAATTTTGGAAACCCCAAGTTGTGTAATATTTTATGACACTGATTCAAATTTCATTTTTCCTTCCATACTAAATTTTACAAGAAAATAAAAGTTGGATGTACACAGTTTAAAATGTCCTTTACTCATCTATATTATGGTTTCTATATTATTTGCTTAATATAGAAACCATTGCTCATTTTCTGTTAGTGGGTTCTAAATACCCTGAAAATACCTTTCATTCTCTTGAATGGTTTTACACTGTCATGTTGTGTTTGATGCTATAATATACGAAGTTATACTCAAATATTTCAAGGAAAGAGACATATGGTAGCTACTGTTATGTCGGGTTATCTTGTAGTGAAACACTATATTGCTTAAATTGTTCCGTTCTGACGTGTGTTATTATGTTGTTATGTCCTCTTTTATCTTAATCTCTTTTCTTTTAATTTTTTAATAAAAAATGGCATTTACTCATTGACATGAGTCATATTATAATGTGGCCAGCCCTTTCCTGTTGCAGAAACTGATGGCCAGTTTCAAACAGGGATTGAATTGAACTGAGTCCCAATGATTCATGCCACTACTTCACATTAAAACTGGAGGTAATATTTAAATTTAGTTGCTACTCTAGTTTCTCTTCAGATTGAATCTTTCATCTTTTAAATTTAGCTGCTGAACATACTTATCACCTTAATTCTTATTTAATATTTGAAAGTTACTACTTTGGAAAAAGTCAACTAAGCATTGGTGATTATAGCATATCAAACACCCTTGTAAGTGATTATTTTAATGAGTCTGTACCAACAGGAACACTTAGACATTCAGACAAAAAACAACCTAATTATAATGACAGCACAGAAGTGAAGCTGTGACAGTTACAAAACCAATTTAAAAGTTTTCCTGACAGCCATGGCTAAAAGCTTTGTTTGGACCTTTCTGTAATAACAGTTTACTTAAGACACAAATCCACAGCTAAGGAAAATAGAAAGCGAAAGTTACGGCTTTCCTGTCAGGCAGATAAAATGGAAATCGGCTGAAATGTTTTTAATAGAACATTACATTGAAAAGAGTATAGAAAAGGAATAATAGTTATGGAATGTAACTCTGACAATGCAAAGAAAGACTAAATAACAATAAAAATTCTAATGAGAATAAAAACTTGTCAACTGATTTGCTTATCTACATTATGAAGGTCAGTAGCTCCGTGGATGCGAATCAAAACATGGTGATTGGCAGTTCTGGAATCTGATTTTGAATTATCTGTAAAATAAAGTAAAAGGCAGAAAAAATGGATTTAACAATGCAATAGCCATGACAACAGAAAGCCTCACTAAAAACCTTTCAGGGACTCTGATAGCCCTCAAATTATTAGACTTTTTTTCATCCTTATTTATTTCCCTTGGTTATGAACTCATTCAGATATACAGAAGAATTAATTATTTGACCGTAAGCAATTAATTTCTCACTCATGACAGAAAAATACTCAACTCATAGAATTGCATTTTTTTCTGCAAACATGCTTGTCACATGCACACACTGTCCTAAGCACTAAAATGTTGACTCATTTAAAAGTACTAATGACCCCTCAAAGTAGGCAGCTTTATGTTCATTATACAGATGAGAAAACTGAGGCACAGAAAGGTTTAAGTAAATTGCCCAGGGTGGCTGCATCTCTAGGCAATCCAGCCCATCCTGTGCTGTTAATGCAGAATGTGTGGTAACGAAGACACCCTGAAACACACACAGATGCGTGTAGATACTGGTGAGACATATGGAGAGGCTCTTTTGTTCATCCTGTTTATAGGCTGTGTGTATTGCCAGGGGATCCCAGTAACTGCCCTTTCCAAGAATCTGGAAGCCACAGAACAGCGGGGATCATGGAGATAGCATCAGTCCTAGACTGAAGACCCAAAAGGCCCCTGGAGGGTCTCTGGTGTGGATGCATGTGGCAAGGCTGAAGTGCACCGTGATGGCAGTAGCAAAAGAAGCACCTGCTCAGGATGGAGCTTTTCAAAACAAAAGCTGAACCCTTCCTCCCTCTTCCCCTTTCAGTCCATCGGGGCTGCAAGACTATTGCATGGTGTCACCCATGATCAAGATGGGTCTTCCTGCTTCGGTTTGCTGACCCACACGTTTTTGAAACTCCCTACCAGACATACACGGAAGTGTGATTTACTAATCTGCTAGGTGTTTCCTAATCCAGTCCAGCTGATACATCGTGATCAAGGGTCACACTGTGTTTCGGTTAGCTTTCTCAGTTGCAAAGCCTAAAGAGCTTTCAGGTCAGACCAGACTGTAAGATTCTGTGTTTATTGGTACTGCAAGAAAGGAGACCCAAGAAAAGAAGTCTCATGTCGCTGGTCCTGTGCAGTTGTCACCACAGGGCTATGCATCAAGTGCTCAGTTCTGTCCATGATGTCTCCTCCTCTGTAGTCCAAGTTTGTCACCCTCTCTTCTCTGTGTTTAGATGTTCTTTACTCTACAGCTGGGTAAAATATCAGAAATGACCTTACATAAATGAGTATAGAGCCTGGTTCGTCTGTTACTTGTGTATGATCTTCAGCAGATGAATTCTCTAAGCTCTCTGTAAGACATAAATCAGATGTCTTATTAGATGACTATGGTGAAAGTTGAGAAAGGCAAAAATAAAATGTGCATGTAGAATGGCCTGGGACATAGTAAGTATTCAATATACTCAGCCATTGTGACAATGTTCACTTTATAAATGCCTGGTTATCTCACTCTCAGTGGAGACAATAGACTTAAACTGAACTTGAGTGATAATCCTGGATCTACCTTCAATGCTTGTGTTGCAGTAGAAAAATTAACTTCCCTGAGCCTTAGTTTATTTATCCATTAAAAATGGCACAGCTTCTTAGTGATTCCATGAATATTAATGTATGTAAAGTACTAGAACAGTAGCAAGTGCATAATAATTGTGATATGGACAATCAGTTGTTATTAGTTGTACTATAATTTTCAGCAAATCTATATGAAAGCAATAAGTAAAACTAAATAAACCTTAGGTTTCCCTTGCCATACCAGTTTGATGACTATCTCTAAAATGGTTTCACCCTCCATCAGTTTCTCTACTAACATGAATAAGTTATACTTGTTTTGTGGTTTCAGTTTTTTAAAAAATAACTTCTCCACAGTCAGAATTCATGATAAAAACTACCTAGCCAATCCTTGAGAATTAAGATACAAACTATACACAAATTAAATGCAGTCTAATTTCCATGTTTAGCAGAAGGTCTTTGACACTATTTTCCTGGTCATGTTTTGACATCTTGAAGAAAAAGATGCCTTGGTCACCATATTCAGCAGCAAGCAAGGGACATTGATAAGTCATCTTTGAAGCACCATTTTTGCACAGCAGTGTATCCCTGAGTTGTTGCTAAGGATCTCAGAGGGACATCTAGACACAAACCATAACAGACTACTACTGGGAAATCATCTTGGTGGAATCCTTTGGTCAGGCAGAACTGTGTAAGAAGAAGCCCTGGTGTACAACCATGTCTCAAAGGTGTATTTCTCTGTTAAGAGTGTACCATTTCTGCCTCCACAGAAAATGATGCGGTCGTCCGTTTTCCACATGTTTATCCTGAGCATGGTGACTGTGGATGTGATAGTTGCAGCCAGCAATTATTACAAGGGAGAAAACTTCAGGAGGCAGTATGACGAGTTCTACCTCGCAGAGGTAAGCAGCTCACTGTGTTGTTCATCTCTAGGCCAGGTGAAGGCGGACTCAGAGAGGGCCATTGGTGAATCCCCAAAATTCATTCACTGTCTGACTATTAAGGTGATTCCTCTGGTCCCATCTCTTCTCCTCCAGAGCCCGGGAAATCTCCCCAAAGGTCATGTTGCCAAGGCAACCCTTTTTCCTTGGATTTTACTTACTGAGCTTGCTGTTTTCAACCTGCCTCTTGTGTTCCCTCCCTTTCTTATGTTGCATTATCCTGTTTCCTACTAATGTAAGGAAGCACAGTGGCAGGAGATTAGAAATAATCAAGCCAGTTTAACAGCACGTGGAGGAGACTGCAGGGAAATGTAAAAAGAGAGGAGACAGTAATTACTGCACTAGAAACTGCTGTAGTCCCACCTGTGCTAGCACCAAATCACAAAGCAGTTCTGTATGTTGGAAGTGACACACTAATCACTCGAATTTGATCATCACACAGTATCGCATGGTTTATAGCATCACATGGTACCCCAAGCATTTGTACTTTACTATGTGTCAACTAAAAGTTAGATAAAATAGAAAGCAAAAATGTGAATCAGTAGCAGATAGGGTTAGTGATTATGTAAACATCTGTCTAGTAGTATATATGCCACACAAGGGTTTGGGAATAGTAATTATTATTGACTGGGTGATTTTGTTAATATTTGATTCTTAATAATTTTTAATAAATTCCAGTGACTATTTTTTTTTACTGTCAAAAAATGTATCAGAATTCAGTGGCTATATATTTATGGGAAAATGTTGATTGACATGCAGAAACACATTTATCATATAAGTATACAGAGCTGTGCAATATTTTAAGAAATCCCTCATACAAAAATGTATAAAGGTAGAAAACTCACAGTTTAATTACTTTTATTACACAGACATTTTCACATAAAATTATTTTTCATATACTTGAGTTTGCTTAGATATCCAGAATTCTTACAACTCATTAAAAATGAGTGAACAATGAAATCCAGTCCACCAACACATGAACTTTTCTGAGTGAACACTTATATAGATATCAAGGAACACTGAAGGAGGCACTTGTGAATTCCTGTCCTGGTAGACATTTGTTTCCTATACAAAATATCATCAATAATAAACTTTCACTGTCTCTGTGATGTAACACTTAACTAGTAGCTACCTGCTACATGGAACTTACTGTGTGTCAGAAATACAGATGGTAAACCATGAGATTTTCATACCACAGTCAGCTGATGATAGGGGTTCAAGAAGAGATTACAGCCAGAGCAGTAATGGAAGATGAGCAGAATTTTGCTACAAAACCAGCACACAGAAGATTAAAAGCAGGCAAACAAAGAGCAGTAATACTGCGTTCAAGCATATTTCTAATACAGAGAGAGGACACTGGGGCTGTCCCTGTCGATTTCTGTTTCTCCTGGAATATAGGAAGTCAAGTGGACATCCAGGCTAATGACTAGACAATGCAAGGAGAAGCTGAGTAAGGAGGAGAGTGGGCAAAAACATAATAATTAATAATATATACTTACATAGAGTAATATAAATAGTAATAAATAATAGCGATGCAGTAAGTGACTGAAGGTCTGGCTGAATTTCCAGAGTAGAAATTTATAGTAATGTCACTTAGAGGGACATGTGACTTTTTTCAGCTTTATGGAAGTGAGAAAAGAAACATTCAAATTGATGCAGCTTTAGGGTGTTTTTTAATCCCCCTGGCTGGTGGCTCTGAAAGACAGAAGGATAAAGGAATATGGATGACTGACCAGCAGAAGGATTGAAGTGAAGACCCTGTGGTCTAGATTGAATATGAAAAGAAGCTAAATAAGAGGAAAGAGAAAGAATAAAAATGAAAGATCAGAGATCTCCCATCAAAAAAGAGATGTGAGTGAGGAGTGGGAGTCAGAGAGCTGATGGTAAAGGCAGTGGGATCCTGGAGTTTAGTGGAGACACTAAATGCCAAACCTATGGTATTGTTTGGCCCTGGATGGTTTCAATGAAATGATGGATTCAAGGCAAAAGCAAGAAGCCATCATGGCCAGCATGTTGGGTAAATCTTCACATGGACTTTGAAGTCATCCTAGGAGGTCAGCCACATGCATGAGACCTGTGAGAGTGGCTGATGGGGCGATGAATAGAGGGCAACCAGGGTGATGTCACCTGACAGAGTGCCTCTCAGGGAGTGTTGAGGAGGGGGATGGGCATCTCGTCTTATCTGAATATTATACTCCATGAGATATAACAGCATGAACACCCAACTGCTTTTGGAAAGGGCTACAGAGGAAATTCATTTGTTTGGGGGATACTTAGTATAAGCAAAGACGTAGGAAGCAGATTCAGTGGATAGTCTGAGAATGTGGAGGAAATTGTTTAACACAGAGAGAACCCAAAGATTAGTAAAAGGCTCTGGGTCAAAAGAGGTAGAAATAGATGTGGTGGGAGAGTTACAATAGTTTTAGAACTGGAGACCAAAGACTAATGAACAAATGCAAGACAATAAAGACAGGAGTGTTCATAGGTGATGAGGATCACACTAATCTTTCTGGGAGGAGCAATCTGTATGTGCTTCCCAGGAAACTCTGACTTCACCGATGGCACTAGTTTTGCTTTATAACTAGCGCAAGGTGGACTCAGCCACACCAAAGCAACCCTGTGGAGGAAGTGAATGAAGTACCTATTCTGGGAACAGAAAGGAACAGAATCCTTTTGGAAATTGTAGCTAATATTTTCACATACAAAATTGATCTCATTCTTATTTTATTTATGCATATGGAATAATTCATGATCGCACTATAAAAACTCCAACAAATGGTCAAATAATTCCTTTTGTAGAGTTCACCAATCACTGTTTAAATGCATTGGTAGACTTGGGTGGTTGATAAAACCTGCTCATTTTTCTGTTTTGTAAATAATATTAGAAATTAAAACAATAGAGAAGAATGATTATAAGGTAGAAACTAGTATATATTATATACTGCATGCGTATTGCTCCTTTCCTAAACCATCAAGGAGACTTGATTTCACTAACCTAGGTAGCAAGGCCGCTCTGGGAGTAATATTACATATAAAGCATAGTCTGTAGCTAACCTTATGATATCATGTGTCAGAAATTTGAGAGTAGATCTTAAGTGTTCAACGCACATGAAATTATTAATTATAAAAACTAAGAAAGTGATAGGTGAAAACATTAGGAGGAAATGAGCATGTCTATTGCATCGTTAGTGATGGTTTTATAGAAGAAATGCTTATTTCTAAATTAATATATTACATCAATACAACTTCTACATGTCAATGATATCTCAACAAAGTAGTAAGTAAATAAAGTAACCACATAAATAAAGTAACCAGTTGTGAAATCTTGGAAAGAAAATCAATAAGCAAGGTAGGCAGTGGTGATTTAGTTCAATCAAACAGCCATCCAGGCAACATGTGTGTATTCTTGAACTATTTCAGCATTCAAAATTTGTTCCCCTAGAATGGTTGACTTTGGATGTTTCAGTTTCTCAGGGCATGGTCTACCTTTATTTAAATCATCTTGTCATTTCTCTTTGGGTCAGAAACTTGTGTGTAAGTGAAAATGATTTGTCTTAATGAGTGTAAGTCAGTCATTTTACACTTACTTTTAATAAAATCCTTCCTTTTAAAGATGTTTAAAAATGGCTATAGTTTAAGCTAGGGATAAAAAAAACATTTTTCAAAGAGTCAAGTAAACATGTTAGGCTTTGTGGGCTCTCTGCTCTCAGGCTCAGCTACATTATGCCATGTGCAAAAGTGAGTGTGCTTGCAGAATAGCTGTGGTGCAATAAAACTTTATTTGTAAAATTTAAGCTGTATTTCAGATCTTGGCTTAAGCTATAGAAGCAGAGAACATTCAAATAGCATTTACATGCTTAAGTTCAAACACATTAGTACTGACAATAATAATAGCTACTGCTTTGGAAAGCTTATTATGGGCCAAATACTTGAAAGGAATTTGTTGTCTCATTTAATCCTCAAAACATCTGTAATGGCAGCAATTCACATCTATGGACTATAATGATGCTGTATTTAAACCATCAGCATTATGTAATAGCTTTGAAAGCTTATTTTTAAGATAGATCAGAAAAGGCCATGAGCTTTTAACGAAGTAATTTTAACGAAGTAATTTCTTCCTTAGACTTCTGTATATTCCAGAAAAAATTATTTAGAAAGTCCAGAATTAGCCACTTAGGAATCAACCAACAGTCTAAAATGACATCTTTAAGAATAAATTAAGTTGTTTAACTTCTATTGTGAAGCTGGGCACTTGTTTTGTTACTTAGGATTAATTGAGGATTAATTAATTAACTAATTCTACTAAATGTAGAATTAGTTAAGAAGCAGAGAAATCTTAATTTTCTAAGCCTACGCAAAATCATAAGGAAGTAAAGACTGATTTTTGTAAGAGTTTTAATTTTCACTTTCCTCTAAGAGAATATTATAACACATAAAATCACAGTTTTGATAAACTATATTTTAAAATATAGTCTTATTTTTAATAGCAGATAAAATTCAAATATTTTCTTCTCTTACATAAAACATGTCAATATATGTATACTCATTAGGCTGTACATTTATCAAAACCTTACCAGCACAGTGCACTGTTCTACACAGGCGGTAAACAAAAAATTTATTAAAATGCCTCTTTTTAAGAAACTCATGAAGCCATGGAAGAGATTCAAGGAAGCAAGCAGAGCTAACAGAGAGCTCCTGTTCCACTGACCAAGTGGGTTCTGTTTGTTTTGCTAATGACTTTCCCAGTTATCCTCTCTGGTTCCTCTGGATCTACCTGATCAGGGACTTAACCCTCCTTTAGCTCCAAATATTAAGTGTCCATGAGCATTTTCATGTTTACCAGTGAAGCCAGAGGAGAAAGAGGTCTCTCGCTTTGAACCCTATAGTAATTAACTGAAACTGCCAGTAGGAAATGCCTCCTCTTATGTTCCTTTCTTTCTTTCATCTTTTAAAATCTCTTT